AGCAGAATATAATCACTTTGTAAATTTGCTGGAAATTGGGTGATGATTTGAACTGCGTAGAGTATGGTGTAGGTCTTAGAGTAGTACGATATTGGGGGGGGGGGTGGGGGTAAATGCTGAGGCACTGCTATGGGTGGCTGCCCTTCACGGTCAAGCTTGCCGTGAGAATTTCTCCATGGGGATCAATAGTGTAATCCATTATTTTTTTAAAAATAGAGTTGAAAATTTACCCAGAATAGGTTTTTTGGCTGTATTTTACCTACCAATAGTCTGCCAGATAACTTGCTGGTGTTGGTGCAAGTTGTGCCAGCAGATACGAAGCAGTGCAGACAAATCATTCAATTTTATTTGTATAGTGCATTTTTACAATATTAACATGCTTCGACACAATGTATATTGTCCCCACCCAAAGTCCCCAGTGAGCCAGCTATAGGTGACAGTGGCAAAGAAACTCCCTACTAGGAAGAAACCTTGAGAGGAACCAGACTCAAAGGGGGAGCCCAACCTGCTGAGCTGGCAGAGGAAGTCAAATTAAAGTCCTGATTTTATTATTTTTTTTTATACACCCAGACTTAAATCGCAGTGTATATGCACGACAGTGGCAGCGGGGAAGGCAGGAGAGACGTCGCAAATCACTTTTGCTCAGTATTATCTATTGAAGCCAAAATATTTCCCTTCAGTGGCAGACTTTATGCTCAGTTCTTGTTTTGCTTTTCTCCTGACTCATTTCTGACAAACACGGTGCACTGTGAGTCAAACTGCAAGCATGAAAATGAATGGCTGAGTGCATGCAGAGCTCATGCCGAAGCAGCAGGGGTAAACGTCAAACTAATTTCTGGAACATGTCAGATATTGGAAAAGAACGATCATTAAAATAGCAAAGCTTGCTGACTTAATTTTCTTTTCACATCCATGACTGAAAAAATGTTTGGTTTTACCTTGTGGTCTCATCCCAGCTATCGCAGTCTTTGCAATCTGACAATTGTATGTGCGTAACCTGGATCGTCGATCGTACGTTGCAATCCTAATAGGTCTTGTAGCAAAATTGGTACATGGTCAGATTTGATTTTACTGTACCTACAGGCTTGAATACACATCCTACTTGGGTCCCTGTTCCAACCCTTGCCACTACTGAGAAGGTCCCCAGCTGTAAAAGTCCATCTGTATTTTGTCAAGGGACCTTCCTGTGCCTGACCCCAAATCAGTTCTGTGACGGGAACCTGGACTGTCCAGATGGGTCGGATGAGGAATTCTGCCTCAAGGCTTGTAAAGACCAAGGTAAAGAATTTCTGCTTGAGCACAATAGTTCATCATGAAGTTCCTGCTCAAAGCAGTCTGTCTCCATCAGCGGACTTCCTGTGCAAGGACAGGCGGAAGTGTGTGTCCATGGCGCTGGTGTGCGATGGCCATATTCACTGTTATGATGGCTCTGATGAGGTGAGCTGTCCCACGGCAGAGGTGGGTGTCCCACGAGTGACCCCGCAGAAGTGCTGGTTCGGCTCCCAGCTGTGCCAGGATGGCAGCGCGTGTGTCCTGTACATCCACTTGTGTGATGGACAGCTGGACTGCAAGGATGGGTCTGATGAGGATGGGTG